AAGATGCAGACTGAAATCTGCTGCTTCAGAACTGTGTCCAATGACGGTAATGTTAATGAACCTTTGGGTTCAATAAAAGGAATGACATTTCTTGATCAGCTATAAGAACCCTACTCCATTGAATTACTTTATTACAAATAATTTTAAATTACTTTTATTTCCCCATATTCTTGCGACAAGTAAAAGTTTTTGATAAAGGCAAGTTTATATTCAATGTCAGTTCCATGACAGACAGCTTTCCTGCTGTGCCACAATATAAAGAAGTGTGAAACTGGTGCACTTCCTTTGTCAGAGTTAGCTTACACTGCTGCTGAGAGGTAATAACAAACACAGAGTCCACACATTCTGGATATAAAATCCAGGATGCATGAGTAGGGTTTGACCGCCAGACCCTGATTTATGGCAATCTCACAGACGGAGATAGCACACAATGTATATTATTTTAATTGTATATAACACTGTGTCAATAAGCAAATTAAGTGGCAACATACATGCAACATGCTTCAACAGTCACATAAATGCACATATAGCATAATAACATTCCCACAACATAGTGTGAAATGTAAAAAACTATATGTCTGAGTATAAATACATATGAAAAATAAAATAATATGGCAAAAATTGTCATAAATAACTGCAAGAGGCAAAAGAAACACACAATTACACATATAACTTAACAAAACTTAAATCATAGTAGAGTGCTTCCTGTTAACTGATTGGTGATGACTAATGTCAGTTTCATAATTCTTTCATTCTCTCAATATAATTTCTTACTGAAAAAATCTGGGAACAATTATAACTTCAATTCAATACATGCAAGTTTCAATATGTCTGTGTAAAAATTATAATAAACTAAATCTCTGACGGCAGAACTTGAAGATTCAACACCATCAGTACCAAAGCCCATCACTATACACAATCCCAAAATTAATTGCACCCACGTCTAATACTCACAAGTTATTTCCCACAGATCAACATTAATGTTTCCTCCCATGGTAAAATTGCCCCTGAGCCTAATCCCCACATTACAAGGCACTAATGGTGAGTATAAAGAACCAATGGTATTTATGGATAGGAGGCTGGGTGGATCTCAGCATTGGGTTGAATGTAATAACTAACTACATTACTGTGTTTACATGAGCCTGAACCTAGATATGATTGTGAAGAGAAACATTTCTGTCCTACTTTGGCATCAAACCCCAGTTAACCAGCTTATAGCCACCCATTTTACTCAGTGAGATATTCTAACTTATGACTGAAGTACATATGCAAAAGAATTACGTCAAATTCAAATCTCAGAAAAATATAAGAAGTGAGGTACTAGGTCCTCATGGCAGTGAGTATGAAGATGATTGTCTTCTGGGATGTGATGTGTAGTCTTATGCTTACTTCTTCCATCATTAGGGCCCTGACAAGCCCTAGTAGCTGGGGCAACAGTGTATACATGCAAACAAACAATTACAAACAGTAACAGGCGCTCAACTTAACCATGCGACGTACAGCGTTCCAGGGTAGGGCGGCGTGGGTGGGGGGGTGTGGTGGTGATGGTGAGGGGAGTGGTGATGTTGCCGGAAGTAGCTTGTGCTGCCATACGACCCTTGGCTTCGCAGTGTCCGCGCAGCGATGGCCTGCGATGCGGCCGTTGGAGGCAGAAATGGATCCTGCTCGTCCACCTGCAGGTAGTCACGTCTGCAACACACACCAGCAGGTGTCAGTGTCTGACAGGGTACCAAGTGGTGCCCTACTTAATTTTATCCTCTCAAACTGGGGCATGAGGGCTGTAATCTGAATGCATATTTAAGGGCTGTAAGATAAGTTAGCGAAGGCCTGAAGAAGGAGTATCTGCTATTTCACTAACAGATCTATTCTGGATCATAATAATCATGCACAACTTTTGGCCCCAATATGGGCACTCAGTTAATTTAAATCAAGAACTGAAATGTAATAATTCTTTTGAGTTCAAGAATACATTAGGTGCAGTTTGTCATTGATATAGGATGTGGGAAGTAGCAGCCATTTTTAAACTCTTGTAAAATAATAGAAATGAATTGTACTGTGAATTTTCAATATAAGAAAGCACATTTAACACCTATACAACTCCAGGTCTCCACATATGAAAATATCAGGTCTATAGCACAGGACACTGAGAAGGAAACTGCAACATGTGATGCATGGTGATGGTGCAAAAGTGATTCAGCAGATTGATTCAACACTAACATAAACTTCAGACTGTCATGCCTAATACGATGAACAAGTAGACAGCCAGATGGAAGGAATGATTTTAATAAGTGCTCTGCAGGGATACGAATGTGTCTAAAAAAAGAGGGAAAAATAGATGCGAAACATTTACTTGCAAAAAGGCTTTGCACACATGACAAATATAGTTAGGAAAGCTGTATATGTCTGCTCAAGTAGGCATGTGTGCAGTCATTTTACATGAAAGGACTCAGTACCATGCTCTCCCTCCAATTTTACTTGGTAGCAGAAGAATTATATCTTCTATCCTTAGAATAATTCAGGCCTGGTCTAGCTGGAGCTTCCATTTCTGTATCTTGTTACTTCATGTACTTTACTTTTATCTGTATTTACAATCAATATTTTTAAAAACCTGGATTCTTTGTAAAATAATAAAAAACAGAAAAAGACAAATGCTACTTGGGTTGCTTACAATGTTTACAAGAATTCATCATGAATACTAAAACTCAAGATAATTTACAGCTGTTGTTCTTGACACATAAAAATAATTTTGTGTTAAAAACATGAATGCTCAAATAACATTTCCCTGTCATATTATGGAAATGAAACTGGACAGTAGAACTGTCACTCTTTCATCCAGTAACATGATAAACTTCAAGATACTTTCTTCTAAAATGTTCTCAGTAGCCATTATTTTATTTTGTTCAACACATTTACATGCAATGAGACAGTGCACCCATATTTGATTGCTCACAGGAATGCACATACTTTTTGACATATTTCAAAAAGGAATTATAGTACCTATTAGCTGTGCTGTCTACTGGAACATCCAACTTTCCTGTTTTGTTCATTTGCATGCAATAAAAATGTATCAGCTCTTTGGGTTGGGTTTACTATGCTACAGACAAGATTGATAATTTAATTCCTACTCAAAGATTTCAGTAAATAAGATGAATGGAATATCAAGTGTCTAAGCATCAAAATACAAAAATTACTACTACTACTACTACTATTACTACTACTTCCACTGCCACAACAGTAACTATGACAACAACTCTTCTGTGTATTTAGTAAAACAATATAGAAGTTCAGAGGTTTAGCACAAAAAAAAAAAAACATAGATGAAAGCTTGAGGGTGACAGTGCAGTAGTAATTAATTATGGCTACAACAGGATAATATCTAATTGCTGTAATTATGTGTACCCTTTTTCAGTCACCTACATTGCTGAAATGCAATATCAAAACATTTCTCTACCCCTTTTCAGTCCCTTTCAATCCATGACATACAGAAATATTTCTCAAATAACTTTTAGAATTATTGAAATGGGTCCAATAGCAGATGCATTTATGTTTGGTTACTGTGGAATGATGCTTTAAACTAACTTATTCCACACGAGGAGGATGGATTCTAGTATGAGCAGATGAAATGAATTAGAATATGAAAGCAATGCAAACATTTGAAATTACACAAGCATTACTTAATACTTAGTCCCAACATTTTATATGACAATTAAGGTTTTTTAAAATCACATTTGTTAGATCATTCAACTTTATAATGGAAAATACAAAAAAGTATCATTGTTAATGTGCCACAAAGTTCCACAGCTAATTTTGATATTTGTTAGCCCATGCAATGATAAAATTCTGTGGAATAAGTCTTTGATCACACACACATATATAACACAATATTCTTTTGGATAAATTGTCTTTCTGAATTTACTCAAAGAGATGGACTCTATTCATTGTTTCAATATAAAACTAAAGCAGGCATACTGTGGCTACTCACCTCCGCCTTATGTAGATCCATGTATGGGAATCAACCCAAACCAGCACAGTGAAAAAAAAGCCAGCTGCTACACTGGCTGCCAGCATAAATGAGAGCCCAAACCTGTAAACAACAGAAAGTAAATATGACTGTAAATTTCTGCTAAGAAAATGTATACAGTTTTAACATGCTTGTCAGTTAGATGTACACCCTCTAAAGCAGTGCCCCACTCTTCCCAACAGTATGTTCACTCAAAAAATAATCTATAATGGACTGATACCATCACATCTGGTATGCAAAGTAAACTGATCACTACCAAATATTTTTGTTATTATTGCAATATAGAGATAAAAATATATCTTACAAGTAACACAATCTTCAGTTCTAAGGTCATGTTATTATATAGAAGTGTCCTCTGGGTTTCCTAGCAATATGAACTGGAAGGATACAAAAGAATTTGTGTCTAATAGTTCTAGGAGGAAATAAAACTTAATTTTCTGTGCTTCACGCTATTAGATATTTTACATTACCAGTTGGCCATCTATAAAACTGCAGCAGAGGATATTACTAAAGTACCTCCAAAAAGTCAGTAAACTTCTACCAGACTACACAGTGCTAAAACCCAGAAGACAGCCATCTTTAACAGATTATGTTTCATGACCTTTCCTTTTCATTAAATTTCTTGATCAATACCTGCCTTGTTTGTTTTAAAACTACCAAATACTACAAGTGGAGGTTTGTACTACTGAACACAATCCAATCAGCACTAAAGCAGAGATGAAGTATCAGTTATGTTTTGACATTTATTTGACTGCAAAGGAGAATAGTGATAGCTTCAGAGATCTGGCTTTATTGGTTGCATAAATCACAAATCCTTACAGGCCAAGGTTACAAACACTGCTTGTGGCAGTGAGATACTGGCGATGCAAACTCTTGCAGTCCAGCAGTGTAGAGAGACCAGATGCTAACTTGTCCACCTGATTAATATCTGTTGTAAGAACATCCAACTTGGGATGCAGATCCGCATGCTTATACAATGCTTCTGCGATACGAGCAACTGTTGCAAGATTCGAGCTCATTGCCTTCACAGCCCGCTGGCCCTGAAGCAGGCGCTGGAAAAATGGGTTGGTCCGTGCCTGGTCACATCGTATGTAATAACTTAAAATGTCTGCCTTTAGTGTTGTGACAGCTTCTCTTTCTAGGAATCCATCAGGAGACATACAGAGATCACCTAGAGCCTGAAAAGTGCAGAAAAGAGAAAATATACTAGAACTGCAGTACATTTATAATGTGAGAAACATTAAAAAAAACTCACACACACATGATGTTTACAAATCCAAGATTTATTACTTAAAGCTGTTCACTTAACATTAAGTTTCAGCTTCATATTATGGAGTTCCCTAATTTAGCTTATTTTTAAGATGTGAGGTTCAGTGGTTACAAAGTTAAGTTAGCACTAAATACTTCTTTCTTGGCAATATTAGGAATAATAACACTGTTATATCATTTCCATTTTAAATCCACATATTTGTCGCCAATAATGTTATCTAAAAATTTTCCTTAAACTCCACAGAAGTACTAATGAAGGACTGGCAGTGTACCACAAACTGATTCTGGAAATTTAATAATTATGAACTCACCACAGATGTTGCAAGATACAGAGATGACAAGAGCCATGAAATAATTACAGCAAACAGGCCGAACACCGAAAATCTGAAATTGCACATCAAGAGCATTACATTAAACTAAAATACTTCAATGTATGGATGATGGCCAAGGTTTGGAACAAAATATAAATAGTATAGCCTTCCATATTATAGCACATTCTGCTGTGATGTAATTAAATAATCAACTAATTAAAAATTATAATTTAAGTCACTAAAAATGTTTTACTTATTCATAAATATACATGTTTTGACACAACATATAGTCATTAGATGTGTCTAACTAAATAATGAACAACCAACCAACCAACCAACTCCATGAAGCAGAATCCCTTCTTCAGAAGCTGATAGTAGCCCAGTTAGTCAAAATATTCTCTACCTTTCTTGGCAATTACATGTTCATTATAGCCTGCCACTGGTCCTGTGCCAGATGAACCAGTTGCCATCCTCACAACCTATTTCAATATCATCCTTCCACCTATGCCTAGATTTCCTAAGTCACTGCTTTGTTTCAGGCACTCCAACTAAAATTTTGTAATGATTTTTCCTCTGCCCCACCTATCTTATCCTCCTTTACTTTCATCATCCAGACAATATTTGGTGAAAAATTGAAATTATGGAGCTCCTTAATATATAATTTTCTCCAGCCTCTAGTTAATTCACCTTTCCTAGGTCCAAATATTTTCCATCAGTACCCTTTTCTCAAGTATCCTTAATCAGCATTCTTCCCTTAATATGGAAGACTAAGTTTGATTTCAGGTTTTCACAGTGGTTAGTCTGAAGATGGCTGTCTTCTGAGTTGTTGCGCCATGTAGTCTGGTAGAAGAATTAAGAACTGAAAATTATATATAATTTGACTGACAATAGCTAAGGTATGTTACATTTGTCTATGAGAAGTTCACCAATAAAACACCCTTTCACGATAACTAGCTTTGGCAGAAACAATTCTAGGCTTCACAAACATCAGACAGATCTCCTCCCCCTTAATAAGATATTTATGTGGGTTGTCTGACAAGACAGACATAAAATATAATAACGAGTGAAATGTTTTAACAACTGCAAGTACTCACGTGATAAGAGCACATCGTGAATGACGTGCCACACCAAACAGTAAAACCACACAGAACACAAGTAAGATGCTCAGTACAGCCATTGTCACAGGCCACCTGGAAACACAGAATTTGTATGTTATTAAATGTAGTGATATACAAAACCTTTGTAAGTTGGGAACATCTGTGTTAAGAAGGACGCTGTATTAAAAGGACTGTGAGTGAAAGTCTATAAACAACAGAAAGTAAGATCAGTATTTGTTCCTCCATTTATATTAGGTCAATGATTACTGTCTAGCATCAGATGATCAATTACAAAAACAAAATTTAATATCTACTTCCATCAGCCCAAAAATTGACCACTTACACTAAATTTATGCACAGAGATGACATGTTCCTTCAAATTTAGAAGAGGCCAAAAATCTGTTTTGAAATTGATAGGCCTGTATCAAATCACATGCTACAAAAGCGAATTAGGAGCCAGTAATGCACACCTGATACCCTCTGCAATCTGCACAACAGAAACAATGCCATGTAGAGTGACACCTTTCAGTTGCCCACTAATGTCCTGAACACTGTGCAAAGCAGTAGTTGTATTTCCTGTTACAGCTTTCAAGGCAACAAATACCATTTCCCGAGCTGTTTGGTTGGCCACTGGATTGTCAAACACATCACGCAGTTCTGTAAGCAGAGGCTCCACCTTATGTGTCAGCGTTGTCTCGATTGTGCCAGTCTGCAACATGGACAAGACAAATCAAGGCACTCCAAAACTATAGATGAGCTGGGCCATACACAGTATTATACGTAAGTGTACACGTATGGTGATATCATATGCCTCATGAGAAGTAATTTAGAATCCTAAGTTTATTTGCTTCCGTAGTTACGCAATAACACAGTAACTCCTAAGGTCATCAGTAAGGAATGAGTGTAAAAGAATTAATAACAAACTGCATGGAATATAGTCATCTTTGACATGCTAACAGTAACTCACCTGGTCAAGAAATTCCATACCCATATGACAAGATTAATATAAATAGTTCACTTGGAAGAATGTGTAATGAATTTATTATTGCCTTTTTCTAAGAGCTGCTTAGAGAAGTTTGGAAAAATCATGAAAGGCCCAGTCAGAACAGCCAGTTAATGTAAGAAGCCAAATGGGGTATCTCATATACCCTACCTTCCTCAGTTTTATACAAGTCGTAGTTCATACCTTATTTTTCTGGTGTGGCACCTGTTTTAAAATTTAGAATAAAACTGCCAAATTCTAGTACATTTTTATATCAAATTCAAGTATCATGGATAGCAGAATCAACGAAACCAACACAAATTCCACAAATCTCGATGCAATGTCTTGCAACTCAGTTATGAATATTAATATTGGTCTTAATAAAAGATGAAGAGTAGAAAAACACTTCCTACAAATGAATGTAAATATATTAAATACTTATTTATCTAACTGGCTGAAAGTTAATTTCTTCCTGTTGTTCTGACACCATCCTCTTTAAAGAGGTAGGGGTCCTAGCAAAGAGTGCCCCATCTTGCAAGCAGAGTAACCTTCCTTGCCTCTCCTCTCCCCATGCCTACAAACAACCTCCTCAACCAGGTCACATTTTCATTGATGGAAAATCACAAGGCTGCAACTGAAAGCGCCTTCTTTTTCACATTATGGGACAACAGAAAGGTTGAATTATGAACACATTCTTTGAATGACTCATCACGTCATGTATACATTATATTCACACACACCTATGAATGTATATACCATCATGATAATACTTCAGTTAATGTTTTAGGTGTCCTAAGTGGCCTAACTGGTGAGCTGTCACTGCACAAAACATAAAATGCAATCACCTGAGCCATATCAAGGCACGGGGGAGTTTCGAAGACTTCTCACCTGGTTTTTCACTGCAGTGATGATGTCGTCCATACTCTGTGTTGCCAGTATAAACTGAACCAGACCATTATGAACATCGTCATTTCCATACAGTCCAATGCCGATGGCCGCACTGGAACAATGTTCATAAGATTAACTAACTTATCTGTTCTTCACCCAGCTTTCCTTAATGCATGACCTATGTATACTATCAATTAACCCTTCATTGATCTTATATTTACGTATATGAAGTGACGCTGAGGATAACAAAAGAATATCCACATCACATCGAAGAAAGAGGTAAGATGTGTTAACTATTTATGCTACTGGAGATTTGAAAATCCTCAAAAATTTCACAACTCTTTCTAATTATGTTGTTTTGACTCAGTACACATCAAAAAGTGTACCACCTCAAATGAATAATTATTGAGACTTTACAGTTCAACTGCTGAAAGTTAGTTCTTTTTTCAACTGTGACTATACAGTCAATAAATTTTACTTTAGCACAAATCATGTTCCTGCACTAATTGCTTCTGTTCTCTAAGCTTCCATCAGGCAGGGCTTCTCAACCTTTTCTACACCTCGTTATGCCTTCACCATTCCTAATCAACATGGAAGTTTACACCTGTGGGCATTTTATTACTATTGCAAACAGGTCGACATGTTACTCAGTAATTTTCTTCAACAAAATCAATATTTTACACTTCTTACTGGTGCAATTTCCAGTACCAGCTTTAATTTCTGTTGTCACAATTTGCATGCATCCCTCCAACTTTTCATCAGTAATACACATCTAAGAGCTTTATTTGATGTTCTTCAACGAGCTTAACAGATTCCCACTCACAATTCTTGAATTTACAAAAGTGAATGTGTGTTTCATACTCACTTTTGGTGAAAAATTAAGTTTTCAAATTCAAAACCCATTTGTAAACCTACCAGCAGAGTAGGGTGAAAATTGCTAGGGTCCACTTGAGAACTATAATGCTGTGTTTGGGGCGAGGCCTGCGGTCACAACATCTCGTCAGCAGGTAGATGAGAAGCACGAGCAATGTGAAAATGAGCCATGCTGCTGGCAGTGACCCCAGAATTCCCAGTGACTGTACACAAAAACAATAAAAAGCATTTTAGTGCTCATATTCTTACTTATCATTAAATTCAGTTACTCTAAATGAAAGGATGTGACATCACACATATTTTATATTGTTTACTGCTGTGGCACCTCACAGTAATAAAGTTGTAAATACCACACAGATGTGTCAAATGTGTGTTGTTTAATAGTGATAAAACATCTGTGAAGATCATTAACCTTTAATAAGGGTCAAGTTTAAAAGATACAAAGAAAAACTTTTAAGCATCCTGTATGGGGCACAGTAGCTTGTGGCTACTAGCCTTCTGTCAGTGTCACATGACATCCTGCTCTTACCAGAGTGAGAAAGTGAGACAGTGGGTGAGCGAGGTCCAGTTAAGCTGTTATCTAATTCAGCAGAACAAGAGAAGTCTGCAGTCAACCCAACTTTGATGAAATAATACAGGAAAATAAGGGTAAAATACAGTTCATCACTGACTGCCAGTTTCCGTATATCATATAATGTCTGTTCTTACACAACAGTTGCAGACCACACAAAGGAACACTGGACCTACCAAACATCACAGTCAAGTGGCTAGCATTCCTGTTTCATACTCAGTTTGAATCATGGCTTGGAAGTTACTGTGGTTTTCCTTAGGCCCTCCAAGCAAATGCTGGAATGTCACTTCAGAATTAGCTACGAACACTACTTAAATTAAACTATTCTGCATTAAATTAAATAACAGATTCACATTGGTCAATCACAATCCCCACTTTCATAAAGCTCCAACTGATGACATTATCTAAAATGGTTATTTTGTTAAAAACAAAGGTGCACAGTACTTATATGTGAGAAAGGTATGGAGAAATGAGGAGTATTGCCAATTTGTTCAGGGTTAATTTAAAAAAAAACCCTGAAACACACTTATCCCTGTTTAAATCTGTGTATTCCAATAACTGCTATCAGCATTTACATTTGTTTGCCTTATGAAAAACAGCGACCATATGGCACACCACTGAGCACTGACAGAAAAATAAAAAACACATATTAGATTCAATTATACTACTGGGAATTTAGCAAGATTTCAGGTTATCATGGTGGTACGTAAGAAGCTGACTGTCTTCAGGGATGTTGCACCACATAGTCTCATAAAAACTGACTGACATTTCAAAGGTTCTTACTGCCTTGTCTCTCAGGGTGATGAGTAGCCCTGATGAAGGAGGCAGTACACACCTCTGAAATGCCAGTCAATTTCTAAGACTACATGACATCCCAGAAGACATCTTTAATGAGAACTTACCTCAAGGTAAATACTACTGTCAGGGTCAAAGGTTGAATTGACAGGATGACAGGTGATATTAAGATGGGGGAATGCGTGAAAGAAATATGCCAGCGGTGGTGGATAGTACGCATCACTGTCCAGCTGATGCATGGTCTGAGCGTGTGGCTGCATCGTGACTGCTTGTACTATAAAAGTTGCTGTGAGGGATATACTGTATCGCACACCATACTGCTCCTTATGTCTTCATCCTGGCCACCTACAACTACAGAAAAGTATACTTCATTACAGTGGCAAAAGTCCTTTAACAACAACACTCCTCCATGTAAAAATTGTTATTATTGCTGTATTGTATTGAAAGACCTTCATTTAACATTTTTATTATATTATTCTTCAATTGTTATACAGTAAAATATTTCTTCTTTTATATACCTAAATTTTAATGTCTGGAGGCATGCTACTAACTAGGCCAAAGCCTTCACCACTGCTTCAATGGAGCACCTATCTTGTAAATGCGTTCCTTGTTACTCTGCACATGTAATCGACCTTGATGTTAATCTGTTTTGGCAACAAATCTACTGTTGTAAAGCTATTTACACTATAGATACAGCACTGCTTGCATATATTATTTTCCCTTGCACTGTTTTAAATATTCACTGAATGCTGCAACACAGTCAAGTGGTTGTCACTTCGTATTCAAGAAGTCTCTGGTTCAAATCACAGCCCAACAAAGACTGGCTACCCTGCCAGAGATTTTACTCAATCACTCCTGACAAATTCTGGGGCAGTACCTTAAATTAGGCCATAACCATTTCCTTTCACATCCTTTCCAATTCATTACTCACAAATCATCCTGTCACCTGACACTATACACAGTAGTCTGAACTACTGGCAGCTTTGTTAAATAAACCACAAATAAATCAAACTGTTGTTCCTAACTATTCACCACATCCGAAATTAATAATTATAAGTTTTAAAGAGTTCCACATTTTATATAACGTACTAACGTCCTGCACAAACAGCCGTTTTGGTTAAATGTTACAAAATTCGATTTTAGTTTCACGTAAAATATGAATTATACATGAACAATACGCGCGAAAAATTAATTTCCTTGCCAACTTTTAAACAAAACCCCAAAAACCAAAATTCATCTAAATTGTTTCGGTAGTTTCAGAGACGAAACATGCTGACGGACAAACATAACCTACCCACGGTGCGTCAGTTTACGCTCTTTGTATTTTTTTAATACATAAAGTACATAACACCATTTGGATAGTAACAAGTAAACTGGTACGTTGATACAAAAATATTAAGTTCATATCAATTTTATTTTTTAAACAAAATCGCATTTTTGTAGTATGTGTCGTTACTTAAAGTACTATACAATTAACAACATTCCATTCTGTAGATCTGCACAGGCCAAAAATTTTAAAATGTTACCCGGCCCGAGCTGAGGACCATTTCACCTGACTGAATATCTTCAACTATGTTGCGCATTCCCAACCTAAGCACGACTTCCTTTCATCTAAGCCTGAATCATACCGTATCTATTTACAATTTGCCCCGACTATCTTATCACTAACACGTACATGCGTCATCAAATGCCCGTTATGTATGATCTGACACTTTTACGTCGACAAAGTACATGAACGCCCG